TCTCTTCATTTGCTGTGCTTTTCCTTAGATTTTGGTTTTATTCCACTAAAGAGAAGAATATTGAAAGATGGAATTCAGCTTTGTAATTTATGAGAATATAGCTGTATCCTAAGGGCCACTGCATGATTCAGGTCTCATAAGGGAGTAAGATGCCCTAAGTGAGGTTTGAGACCTAGAGAGTTCAGTCAGCTACACATAGGAGGATGCTTTTTGATGAGGCCACTGATAACGTAGGCCTAGAGTTTTGCAGCTTAGGGGAAAGTGCAACAGCACCTTCTCTAATCTTCCTGGCACTGGCTTTCAGCTGCTTCTCTGGCTTTGGATGAAATGGCAGCTGCCAGCCAGCCACACTGGTTTTATGTACGGCTGTTACCTTCCCTGAGATACTAATGATTAACAGTGAGCTCTGCCGCAGCCTCAGGAACTTGGAGTACCTGGGAGAATAGTTTCTGTCTAGAGCACAGCTTGTTGTCCGTTCAGGATCTAGTCAGTTGTCACTGGAGAGTTTGTTCCCTTAGGTGGCTGAGAGGTGTTTGGAATAACAGTATTCTTGCCCATGAAACTAGTTTTGAGCCAGCTATATACATACTTTGGGGCACTGAAGAGAACATACCTGGCGGAGGGCCACCTTTCTAGCACTTTATGGCACGTTTAGGTGGTCTTGGAAGGCCCAGTGAAAGGCATGGAAGAAAAGGCCAAAGCCCCATCAAACCCTTTCAAAAGGTATATGGTATCTTTTTCTTATGTGTATGTTTCTTTTCATCTTTTCTCTTTTTAAAATGTTTGCAAGTAATTTGTGAATGTATTCACATTTTAGATTTAAACAATAAAATACATAGAACTCCTGTGACAGTTTTCCTTCAAACCCCATCTCTGTTTGTGCTTACATCACACACACAAACACGCATATTTGTCATGCTCTCTGTGTCCACTGTGAATAATATAGGCTGTATCCATCTAGTCCTCTTTCTGTGTATTTGCAAAGTCATAGTAGCTTTTAATATGAATTAGCTTATGGGTTAGTATGTGTGTGTGAGAGAGTGAGTAGGGTCATTTGATATGTTGTTCTACACTTTGTTCACTGAATATATACTGCATCCTTAGTGATAACCATTTAAATTGTTCATAGTATTTTGCAGTTACAAGTAAAGAGAGAGTGCATACATCTTTATGTACATGAGCTCATAATTGTTAAGTTCTAGAAGTGAAATGGCTGAATTAAAGGATGTAAACATTTCAAAATTTTTATGGCTATTCCTAGAAAATTTTCTTAAAAGCCTCCAGTTTATACTCCCATGCACAATGCAAAAGAATGCCTATTTCCATACATCCTTTTTAAAGCTGTATGCTACTCATATCTTTTTAAAGACATGGGTGAAAACCTCCTTGATGCAGTTGCTTCTCTTAAGAGGTTTATAGTTTGCTGAGAATATCTCCTTGTGGGCTAAAGTTTCTCACCCATTTTGTTTTTAAGTGGATAAAGTTAGAATATTGATGATTAGTCTGAATATTTTGGAGCACTTATATGGAGTATTGTATGTTTAAGTGCTTATTAAATTTTGCTTCTAAAAAACTGTCACTTACTTGACATTTTATTTGTACCAGGTACTGTGCTAAGTTCTTTAGTTATGTATCTCATTTAATTCTCATAGACTGAATTAGTCATGTGTTATTGGGTTACATATTATCCCAAAATTTAGTGGCTTAAAACAATAAACAATTATTATCTTGTAGTTTCTGTGGGCCAGGAATTTTGTGGGCTTAGCAATGGAGTTCTGGCTAGGATTTCTAAGTTTGCTGTTATGATATTGGACAGGAGCCAGGCATAGTAGCTCATGCCTGTAATCCTAGCATTTGGGGAGGCTGAGCAGGGAGGATCACTTGAGCTCAGGAGTTCAAGACCAGCCTGAGCAAGAGCAAGACCTCAACTGTACTAAAAATAGAAAAATTAGCTGGTTATTATGGCAGGTGCCTAGTCCTAGCTACTCAGGAGGCTGAGGCATGAGAATTGGTTGAACCCCAGAGTTTAAGGTTGCTGTGAGCTAGGCTGATGCCATGGCACTCTAGGCCAAGTGACAGAGTGAGACACTGTCAGGGGAAGGAAGGAAGAAGATGTTGGATGGGGCTTTGTAATCTGAAGGCTTGACTGGAGTTAGAGGATCTTCACTCATGTGGCTATTGGTAGGAGGACTCAGTGCCTCCCTACATGGGCTTCTGTACCCTGGGGCAACATGATAGCTAGCTTCCCCAGAAAGAATAAAGAAGAAAGCATCGCCTTTTGTGACCTAATTTCTAAAGTTGCCAATTGTTACTTCCACTTTATTGTGTTCACTAGAAGCAAGTCATTTAAGTTAGGCCACACTCAAGGGGAAGAGAATTAGGTTTCACCTCTCGAAGACAGGACTATTGAAGAACTTGTAGACATATTTCAAAGCCATCACATCCCGATGAGATGCTGTTATATCCATTTTACTGATGAGGAAAATAAGTTCACTACTTATCTCACCTGTCTCTTACGTTCTGGCCTCTGCCCTCTCCTGTGCTTAAGTTTATCAATGTCCATCCCAGAAAAAGAATGTTTATTCTCAGCCATTCATTCATTCAGCAAAAGCTTATTGAATACTTGTCTTTGTGCCAGGAATACTGCGGAGAATAAAACAGACATGGTGCTTGATTACATGGTGCTAACAGTCTTGAGGAGAGAAACCTTAATCAAATAGTCATATCCATAAATAAATCATTGTCAGTTTGAGAAGTTCTATGGAAAAAAGTACTTCCGAGCCTATTCATACCGTTGTTCCTTGTCTATTCCCCAATGTGACCCTTACCCTTCTAGTCTAGAAAGAATGCTTGCTTTGTTTTCACATAGAAAACTGTGACTTCTCCATCAGTCTAGTTTGAGTCCTACTTCAATGAAGCCTATTCCTTTTAACTTATACTTATAATCTTTTCTAGGAACTTTATTTGTTCAGTATCATATTTAATGCTTAATTGTTTCTTTAGTGGGCCCTCACCTTGTCTCTCAACTATTGAAAGTTCCTTAAGGTGGAGAGATCTAGGAGTGTCCCTCAGTTCCTCTGTCTTCCTCACCCCTCTCATCTAGTCACAGTAAATCATCTCTACTGTGACTGCCTCTGCTACCGCTCAAGTCTAAACCATTATCTCCTGCCTGGACTGTGCAGATGTCCATCTTAATAGTCTCCCTATTTCCACTAACAGCCATAGTAATCTGTCTCCATTCATGTAATCATTGTGTTTACATTCCCCTTTCCATCACACTTCAAGGAAAGTCCATATCTTTGTTCTGGTTTACAGAGTCCTACCCATTCTGTCTCATTCCTGCATCTCGCCTTACCTCCTACTTGTCTCTCTCACTCTCTCTCTCTCTCTCACACACACACATATATTATGTAATCCTGCCACTGCCACATGACCTTCTTTCTGTTCTCTAAATACACCAAGCTCTTCCTGTACCAGGGCCTTTGCCCAACAATTTCCTCTGCCCTGAAATGTACTTCATCTAGTCTTCATATAATTAATTCTTTCTTATTATTTAGATCTTTAAATTTCATCTCCTTTTCAGGGCTTTCTCTGAGCAATCAATCAAACCTAGCTACCCAGTAACTCTCATCAAGTTACCTTATTTTAAATTTTTTCTAATGCTTCCTGCTATCTGTTTCTTATATAAAATAGTCTGTCTCATTACACTAAAATGTAAACACCACATCCTGACATCTGTGTTGTTCACCACTGGCATATAATAGAGCTCAATAAGTACTTGTTGCATTAACAAATGAGTGAAAAATCATCTTGAGGCTCTGAATTTATCTGTCCTAGGAGGAAAGAGGGAGACGAGAACCTGAGTTCCCAGGCTCCTCTCTGGACTCCTTGTTCAGACTACGCTACTGTTCACTTAGGGAGCTCTATTTGAATTCTTTGCATAGTACTTATTATTATCTGATTCTTTTCTCCTTTGTTTTTCTGTCTGGCACAGAGAAGATGCCAAACACTGGCTGAAGGATTAAGAAGGGAATCAGGTTCTGTTTTGGATTACAGGCATCAGTGTTTCCTACTGTGCTTGGCCTGTAGCAAGTGCCCAGAAACTTCCCTAGTTACTCTATGAGCCTGCTCCATATGTAATTACTCTTGGTAGAGCTGTGTTCTCACCCTAGACTTTGGAATAGGAAGGCAGTTTGGAACCAAGGATCTTTTGAGAATGTTTGGAGCCAAACTGCAAGGCTCTGCAGTCTAAAACCAAGTATTATATAGGTTCCCCTGTTCCCATTCAAAAGAGAAGTCCAGCTACTTAGAATTCTACCCCTAAGCAGCAGAAGAGAAGCCACATTTTGATGCAGTTCTTATTTTAATACTCTTCATTGCATCAGTTAGTGAGTCAGAGGGTATTTATTGAGCCCCTTCAGGATACAAAGTAGTACTTTGGGTGAGCTATTGAGTTTGAAATATTAATTACATTATTAAACCAAAACCAAATCCCTAAGTAGTTGAAAGTGCTGTTCAAGTTATCGAGGTACAGTTCCTGTAGACTATTTTGTGATGATGGGCTTTTACACTGTATGTTGCCACTTGGGCAGGAACAAAAGTTCAATAAATAACTGAGGTGTTATATTTTACCAAAATGAAATTTTGATGTGGCCCTTGATCATCAGCTTTCTTCCTGACCAATTGTTGAAGAATTGTGTGGTAATTACTATATATTTTAAGATTTTTGGGTCTTGTAGCTACCAGGACCAGGATAAAGAATAATGCTTGCCTTTCCTTCTCTGGCACTACTATTTAAATTAGACAGGGAAAAGGGGGGCATTATTGCTGCCCCCAGATCTCTAATCTGTTCAAGTAGTTCCTCTACTCCTATGAGCTAACAGTATCACAGAAATGCATAAAATCCAAGAGTGCCTTGACATCATCAACCACAGAGTTTATGAAGGAAGCATGTACTCTACAAACATTGTTTTTATTGTTTGTCACTGTTTTTCTTTCAGATTTCTCTGTTGACTTCTGCAGTAAACCGCCTCAAAGCCAACGTTAAGTCAGCTGGAGACTTAATCAGCCTGCCTGCCACTGTAGAGGGACTTCAGAAGGTAAGTGCTATGTATGAGTACTGAGATTAACCTGTGGCTGTAACTCTAGCTTCTTACAAGTTTTCTTTGAAAGCCTGACATTTGAAATCAGCTGCTCTAAGAAAGCAATAATAGAGTGTATTGTTGTGTTCTAAAGCATTAAGGGCAACTATGTTTTGGTCTGATTAGTTGGACCTTTAATTTGTAACAAGTTATGTTAGCTATGTTTTATGTGGATTTGTACCTTTTTATTTGGCTCTCCAAGTCCCAGAATTGCTTTGCATATATGGGTTTGCTTTTCAATACCTGAAAATGCTATTCAATTGGTCATTCACCATGTGTTCTTGAAAGCACACCAATGGTACATACATGAGACTTGCTCTAAATCTCTATTGTCCATGACTGAGAAAGAATCTGATGGGAAAAAATGATTTAGGAAATGGCAAAATTAAAAATTCCAGAAACAGCCTCGGCACCCATAGCTCAGTGAGTAGGACGCTGGCCATATACACTAAAGCTAGTGGGTTTGAGCCTGGCCTGGCCATGCTAAAGAACAATGACAACTGCAACCAAAAAATAGCCGGGTGTTGTAGGCACCTACAGTCCCAGCTACTCTGGAGGCTGAGGCAAAAGGATTGCCTAAGCTCAGGAGTTTGAAGTTGCTGTGAGCTGTGACACTGCAGCACTCTACCAAGGGTGACATAAAGATTCTCTGTCTCAAAAAAAAAAAAAAAATTCTGGAAACACCTAAGCGTTGGCAAAGATTACAGCAAAAGAAACTTTCAAACAGCTCTGGGACTATAAATTGGCAAAAATTACTTTGGAAAATAAATAGATACTATTTTAGAAAGGTAAACATGCATACTCTAAGCAAATCACTCCCAGGTATATACCCTAGACCAATTTTATTGGCACCAGGGACCAGTTTGTGGTTTTTTTTGCAGTTTCTGGCTGGGGCTGGGTTTGAACCCACCACTTGCGGCATATGGGGCCGGCGCCCTACTCCTTTGAGCCACAGGCATCGCCACCAGGGACCAGTTTTATGGAAAACAATTTTTTGATAGACCAGGGAGGGGGGGCAAGAATGGTTTGGGAGTGATCTAGGTGGTGATGTGAGTGATGGGAAGTGGCTGGGGCCGGGTAGGGTGGGATAGCAGCCCTAGACTCTAAGGCTGAGGCAAACAATAGTTTAGAATTTCTATTTACATGTTCTCTAGGACTTAGGCTTAGAGCAGAAGGCAAGGGCTAACCAGAAACATCGTACGTTGAGGATCCTTAGAGCTAGATGGGAAGAGTAGACGGGGTAGGAATGAAGAAGAAGGTTCCTAATTAGAACACAAAGAACAGCCTCCTCTGCAGCAGGAAATGGAAGGAGGGCTTCCCCAAGCAGTGGATATCAAATATAGGATCTGACCTTTAAGACCTCATGTATGATAAGTTTGATTTGATGATATGCCAGGTGATATAGGCATATGAGTTGTTTCTGCAAAGGAGTGAAAAATTTCTAAGTCACAAACAAAAACAAAACTTGCTCTTTCATAGCTCCACCATCTGTGTGTGCTCAGTCTCCATAATTTGCTACTTGTCCAATGCAGTCATCTGCTTACAACTTTAAAAAAACAAATGAGAGACACTTTGCTGAAGCCAGATTCATGCCATTGTTCCCTAAGCCAAGTAGGGAAAAGGCAGGCCTCTGTAGCCTTCAGTACAGAACCAGCTCTGGCAGTCTTGCATTAGAAAAGGAAATTGGTTTTTTCTTGCATTCATTAATTTAATAAACATTTGCGGAGCTTCCTCCAGCATGTACCAGGCACTTTGCACTTGGTGGGAATACTTGTTTCAGAGTTTGACTCCAGAGTTCACATGGCTCTGTCAGCTGCTTCCTCAAAACACAAAAAGATCTGAACAAGAGCTTACTCTCTATCTTCTGCATCCTCATGGGCTCAAACATCTAGCCAGTGAGGATTCTCAAACAGTAGGTGTCTTTGAATGCCTGTAGCTTATTTAACATTAGAGCTTACGTAGACAGTATGCCAGCTTGGAGACTTCCACCCAGTGTGTTGTCTTCTGCAAATCTGTGCATTTAGAACACCCGGCAACGCTTCCATTGCAGTTCTGATATAGTAGGTCATCTCAAATACCTAACTTTAGTGTATCTCATGTAATGTTTAAATGTTGAAATATCTTCTTGTTCTTTTGGACTCTTGGATATCAGTATAATAAAAAATGATTTGGGTTAAAAATACTAATGCACCACTATACAATTGTCAGCACGTTCTTGATAAAAGGCCAAAACCCACAAATAGTCACACTCTGGATGTTTCCTTAGGACAGGCCTTTTTAAAAAGATGGCTTCTGGGGTGGTGCCTATGGCTCAGTGAGTAGGGCGCTGGCCCCATATACCTAGGGAGGCAGGTTTAAACCCAGCCCCAGCCAAACTGCTAACAAAAAATAGCCGGACATTGTGGCAGGCACCTGTAGTCCCAGCTACCTGGGAGGCTGAGGCAAGAGAATCATTTAAGCCCAAGAGCTGGAGGTTGCTATGAGATGTGATGCCATGGCACTCTACTGAGGGTAATGGAATGAGACTCTGTCTCTAAAAAAACAAAAAGATGGCTTCTGAATTATATCTCCCAAGTTCTTAGTCCACTTGGGCTCCTTAAGCGTAATGAAAACAAAGTAAGCTATTCAGTGGCTGCTGAGGGGATTCTATAGTAAAGGAGGAACAAACGTTGCCAAATGGAATTTTTCCTCCTTCTCTACAATGTTAGGTTTCCCAAAGCCATGAATGGTTCTGCCTATTTTTGCTCAAAAGTTGTCATTTTCTCCTGACCTAGTGGCCATCTGGAATGTTAGCTCTCACCATCTGCCTGCCCACAGCAGGGCTTGACAGGCAGTTTGTGAGAGAGCCTTATGCATGGGTCCCAATTTATAAACTAATACTAAACTTGTCTTTAGGAATGACTTTGTTTTCCTCTAGGAGACATTCTTTAAATTGAGTCAGTTGTTTGAGAGATACTGTTACAGTATGTGCTACATGGAATTCATGGTTTGAACATATTTGAAATAAAGCCACTTATCTCCAATAGGTCAGTGTTTAATGTAAATGAAAATCAGGTCATATACTTCCATTAGAATGGCTAAAATTGAAAAGATATTGATGAGGATATGAAATGATGGGACCTCTCATACCCTGCTAATGGGAGTATAAAATGATACAACCATTTAGGAATACAGTTTGGCTATCTTGAAAAATTAAGTATAGGCTGGGTGCAGTGACTCATTCCTGTAATCCTGCACTCTGGGAGTCTGAGGTTAGTGGATTGCTTTAGCTCAGGAGTTCCAGACCAGCCTGAACAAGAACAAGACCCCATCTCTACTATAAATAGAAAAACTAGCCAGGTATTGTGGTACATGCTTGTCATCCCAGCTACTTGGGAGGCTGAGGCAAGAGCATTGCTTAAGCCCAAGAGTTTGAGGTTGCTGTGAGCTGTGACTCCAGGGCACTCTACCCAGGGTGACACAGTGAGACTCTGTCTCAGATATAAAATGTTAAGCATGATCTGCCATATGCTCAGCCGTTCACTGCCTAGGTGGTGTGATGATAAGAAAGCATCTGATAAAGGGAAATGAAAGCATGAAGTCTGCATAAATATTTGTGCGTGAATCTTCACAGCAGCTTTATTTGTTGTAGTCAGGTACTGAAAACAACCTAAATGTCCAGGTGAATAGATAAACTGATAAAGCCATATGATGGAATGCTCCTCAGCAGCATGCGGAGTCACGACAACACAGATAAGTCCCACTCATACTGAGTGAAAGAAGCCAGACTTGTAAAAGTGGTCTTCACCCACTGGTTCTGTTTGTATAAAATTCTAGAAAATGCAAACTGATTTATAGTGACAGAAAGTACATCAGTGGTTGCTTGAGGAATGGGAAAGAAGTACGCGAGGGTATGAGGAAACAGGAGGTGATGAATGTTTATTATGTTGATTGTGGGACTGATTTCACATTTGTATGTGTGTCAATAATCAGATTATACATTTTTAATATATGAAGTTTCTTGCATGTCGCTTTTGTCCTAATAAATCTTTTTAAAAGGAAAGAAAAACACTGACTTTTCTTCCTGTTTCTGTTCAGAGTGTAGCTTCCATTGGCAATACTTTAAACAGTGTCCATCTTGCTGTGGAGGCAGTACAGAAAACTGTGGATGAACATAAGAAAACCTTGGAATTACTACAGAGTGATATGGTAAGGTCTGCAAAAGGTCCTATAAGTCAGCATGCCCTGGCTCACTCTTTTTCTGTGGGAAAGTAGTGATACCAGCTTTCCACTGATATGAACAAGCCCTACTATAACACCTGTTTAAAAGAGCCAACAATCAAAATAATCAATTTATAATGATGGTTCTACAATCTGTGAATTAAGCAATTATGATGAATTAAAAGCAAAAAGTCTTTTGCAAACATGGTACTGGAGGAAATATAGTGATAAGACAGTTCTTGAGGATGGGATGGGTAGGACAGAAAATGGAAAAGAAGGCTGGGCACGGTGGCTCACACCTGTAATCCTAGCACTCTGGGAGGCTGAGGCAGGTAGATTGCGTGACTTGTTTCTGCCAAAAATAGAAAAACTAACTGGGTCTTGTGGCAGGTGCCTATAGTCCCAGCTACTCTGAAGGCTGAGGCAGGAGGTGGCCTAAGCCCAGGAATTTGAGGTTGCTGTGAGCTAGGCTGACCCCATGGCACTCTAGCCAGGGCAACAGAGCGAGACACTGTCTCCAAAAAAAAAAAAAAAGGAAGAAAGAAATGTCTGGGTCTTTTAACACTGCTGCAGATGTAAGCTATCCATAGTCATTCAGAAGCATTAATTAATTAATCACTTAATAGGTAACAGCTCTATGAAAGATTAATGAAGTGTAAAGGGGATGGCATGGCCCTTGCTGGGAAATGAGTTATATGTAATTCATCTGAAATCAGGATTATTCAAGGCACACAAAAGTTCCCTAGCCTCTTCACCAAGTTCTAGATCTGCCCCCTATATTATGCAAGCTTCAAAATTCTGAATTTAAACTAAGCATGTTGTACCAAGGAGGCTTAGGCTATGTTAGAGAGTTCTAGAAGGGAGGGTTTTTCAAGTTCTCCAGAACCAAATACTCCTCACTGTTATTTAGTGGGGCTAACCCAGAGGAAATAGCTTTGACCTGAGTGTCTAGGCACCTGATTCTAACTGCCACTGAGTAACAGGATGACCAGTAATAAAAGACACTTCTAACTCGGCACATCTTTTGTTATTACTTTCATATCCTGATCATTATATTCTCAAGTAATTATTTTCTAAAATATGTTTTTCTTACTAAAACTTCTCCTTTCCAGAACCATTGGTTATCCCCTTCCTCTTTTTCACTTTCATGTTGCCTTTTATTTTTTATAAAAGCAGGATTGGTAAATAGCTGTGATTTCAGATTTCAAGAAAGCAATTTATTTTTACCAGTTGCATTCTGCTGTAATTAAGTCTGCCTCTCTTAAACTTCCATGCTTCTAATCATAATCCTGCTGGCCTACTTTGTACTGAATAAGTCATAGTTGCGGGTTTTGGAGACTAAGCCATGAAAACTTTTTTTTCCCCACTGAAGGGAAAAAGAGCATATAAACTTGTACTTCAGTCTCTGAGAAAAGAGACTTGAACAGTGGGAAGGGAATGGCAAGGGAAGGGAACTCCTCAGACGAAATCTTGGTATGTGCTAAAAGGGAGAAACTAATGATGTGTGTGATTGGTTAGTTGTGCTCAATGACCAAAGCCAATGCTTACATGACTGGCTGCTCTTTTACCGTGCAAACCTCTTTAGTCCAGTGGAAATGATAACACTGCCCCAGGTTCAGACTGACTTGTCCCTGTAAAGTTATAATGATTGCGTGGTTTCTCTAGGAGTACAGGTAATGAAGGAGAGAAGAAATGGTTTCTAGGGAGTTTATTCCATTAAGAGACTTGAGAAATAGACTAGGAGAATCCCAGTTCCCTGAGGTAGGTAATCTAGGTGCTACTGGACCAGCTCATCCTTCAAACTGAGCAAAGTTCATGGTGACCCCAGGGGAGCCTAGTATAGGACTGGTCACACTGTATGGGCTTGGTAAATACTTGTGCATTAATCTGTGGATACAACCTAATAATTACTTACTGCCTACACTAACCTCTGTTCCTCTTAACAGGATCAGCACTTGTTGGGGGAGACTGATGATGACACCCAAATCATTCTATCACCTTCAGCCACATCAGAACTTGACAATAAAACCCACACTGAGAATTTGAAAGAGGTATTTTTTGTCTCTGGCTTAGCTCTCTGTGACCACAATGGGTCGTGGAGGCAGCTGAGTGTTGGGCCTCCACAGACATCTCCTGCTTTTATGTGGTGTTTGCCTGCCTGGGAACTGAGTATAGAGGAAAGTATGTTGGTATCTTGGGATCCATAATGCTATCTGTCTTTTCTTTAGCACACTGCATTTTCCCCCCTGCATGTCAATCAGTGGAATAAATTTCTTTTCATATGTAGACATAGAACAACAAGATCCCTAAATTCCTTATGAAAAATAGCAATCTGGGCAAGTTAAAAATGGATGGATAGCACATTAATCCAGAGTGGTGGCTGTTTGGAACCATATTAAATTCTAAGGATGTTAGAAAGCATATCCTTGAAAATCAGAATTTCCTAAAGTCTAAAGACTAAAAGGCAAGAGGAGAAAAAAAAGGATATTGAGTTCAGAATCACATTAAAGAGAATAAAAGAAATCTTCACTAAAAAGAATTCCTGTCCTGAGTTTAATGCTTTAAAATCTGTAGTCATCATTCCTTTTTAAGTAGCGATCTATACTAGAGGATGTCAATAAAAATAATTGAATCTTGTACTAAATAATGCACCACTTGTTATGGTTTTGTTACATGAGCCAATTCAGTAATTGGTATTGTTCCTAAGGTAGTTTTGTTCTGACAAATTAGGTTAATGGGCCTTGCAGTTAATAACCCAGCAAGCTTTCCCACCAGCAGGTGAGGTAAACACGGGGAAATCAATTCCCAAGCTTGCAGCTTCCGAGGACCAAAGGGTGAATCATGTAGGTAGTCCTCTTCCCTCTTTTCCCCTTCTGTCTAGCTGAGGTCAAACAATTCCAGAGGGAGTAAACTGAGAGCAATTTAGAGGGGTGAGGACAAAGCAGAGACAGAAAATTGATGGTCAAAACCAGGAAAAAGAGTTTACTTTCGTAACTTGACACAGTAATGGTTGTTCGATGCTGCTGGCCTGCATGTCTAACATATATCTGTAGTGGATGCCACAACTTGATTTATTTCCACTCTAGGATATCCTGTACCTACACAACTCTTTAGAGGAGGTAAACAGTGCCCTAGTGGGGTACGAGAGACAGAATGATCTTAAATTCGAAGGGATGAATGAGACAGTCAGTAATCTTGCCCAAAGAGTCAACCTAATAGAAAGCAATGTGGTTGCTATGAGCAATTTAGAAAAGAAAGACCTGTCCTCCAGCATGGTAAGCCCTTTTAGATCTTTTGTGACATGTTCTGTGTTGCAGCATGTTTTGTCTGTACATGGATGACATTCCACAACCTTTTTTGAGAACAGTTTTCTGGCGTATTTGAAAGGCTACACATTGGTGTTTTGTTTAATCCATGGCTCCCTTAATCCTTGCACCAGCCCTGTGATGTGAATGGCAGAGGCACTGATAGCTGGATTTGGAAGGGGCAACAGTGATATGGAGAAGTCCAGTTGCTTGCCAAGGCCTCACCACAGGCTGTTGGCAGAGATGACAAGCTTCCTATAATGTTACTTGTGATCCATCTGGTAGGGAAGCTGGACCTGGTCTTATTTCTAAGATAAGGCTTCTTGATCTTTCCTTTCTTAAGGTGTTAAGGACGGAAGCCATGACAGTAACACTATTGGAAAATCTTTTGCCATTTCTTTAAAATTGGCTTTCAGAATTATCCTGCTACTCTGTATATGTTAAAGGGAACCTTTTGCACATATCAGGAAAGTCATTTAAAACAGATCAAGTCATGCCAGGTCCCCAACTTAAGATATCATTCAGTCATGTTAACTAGCTTGATGAAAACATTTCAAATTATATATAAAACCAGCACATTGTACCCCATGATTGCATTAATGTACACAGCTATAATTTAATTAAAAAAAAAGATTCAATCTAACCCCCATTTTATATATAAGGAAATTGAGTGACCTACCTAAGTCGCTGATGCTGGCTTTCATGTTACCATTAATAAAATGTGGGTTTTTTTAAATCACCTTTCACATAAACATTGTGCATGATCCATATGGATTATTTTTTAGTAGCTAAAGGCCGTGCCCTTAAAGATTTCATACAGCAAAGACACAGGCATATATTTTGAAATGGAAACCAAATCCAAGAAATTGTACTATAAATTCAAGTAACCACCAAAGCTGGAAGCAAGCCCACAAATAAAGTCGAACTCTGGCACATGGAAAACAGTGTTTGAACTGGCTCTGCCACAGTAGAGCCTTGGCAAGTTGCCTGGACTTGGCTTTGAAGGGTGGAGTAGGAAGACCTGTTTCCCCTCCTGCTTTACAAGGGTGTGTAATTTACTACAAAGCTGTGAAGATTAAAGGAGCCTTATTTTTAAAAAGCCCTTTTGAACTCAGCTAAGTATGGGCTAGGAATTTTGGATGATGAGCATTGTGCCTTGAAGGTTTTCAAGACTTGTTATGAAAACTTGCCACCCTCAAGCTCCCCTGACTGTCTCTGCCTTCCCCACTATATTTTTCTCCAGCAGGGCAATTGGTAATAATATCCATCTGTCCTGCTGTTTCTTCCAACAGCGTCATACCCAGCATGGTTCTGAGTAAAAGTTCTATTGCCTTTTCTTCTTCAAAGTTCAAAAGTTTGTGACCGAACTACTACCAGCACCACTTTCAGCTGTGTCTCTTTGTGGCCTTTCTCCCTCTCTCCTCCCCATCTCTCACTCCTGTCATTTTTATTGAATGTACCGTGAGACCCTATAAATAAATTCCACCAATTTGTTTAAAAGTAATAGATGTTGAAGTTTTAATATTTGCCTTTTATCTTCCCTTGTTCTTTTTGCCCTTTAAGATGGGTGACAGAGCTGCCACTCTGAAAAGAGAGTCTTTGGATCAAGTGACCAATAATACAGATACAGTAAAAATCCAAAGCATAAAGGTAAATAAGGGGAGGCTTATAGCAGGGTGTGATGGCTCACCCCTGTAATCCTAGCACTCAGGGAGCCTGAGGAGGGTAGATTGCTTGAGCTCAGGAATTCAAGACCAGCCTTAACAATAGTGAGACCTCGTCTCTACTAAAAATAGAAAAACTAGCCAGGCATTATGACAGGTATCTATAGTCCCAGCTACTTGGGAGGCTGAGATAAGAGGATCCCTTGAGCCCAGGAGTTTGAGGTTACTGTGAGCTATGACACCACAGCACCCTACCCAGGGCAATAGAGTAAGACTCTGTCTCAAAAGAAAAAAAGAGGAGTAAAAAGTAAAGTACTTCCCCTGAAGTAAAAATAAATACATTAACTTCTCTCTGTGCTTTTAATCTTTTCAGAGTTGGATCTCCCATGCCAAAACTTCAAGACAAAGCAATTAGTAAATTAGTGTATTAATGAATAAATGAATACTTTATCAGATCCCTTCCCACTGCCAAGCATTTTGCTTGGAACTGAGGTGACCACATGAGCAAGACAGACACATGACCCCTATTCTGGTGGAGCTCAAAGTCTACCAGTCAGAAAATCATTAACATACGATTGCATAGATCATAAATCAGAAGTATGATAAATGCTACAAAGGCAAAGTATAGGAATAATCAGGGAGCTGTCAGAGAATCAGGAAGACTTCCCTAAGAAAATGACTTAAATTGGGCGGCACCTGTGGCTCAGTGAGTAGGTGCTGGCCCCGTGAGTAGGTGCTGGCCCCATATACTGAGGGTGGCGTGTTTGAACCCGCCCCAGCCAAACAGATTGCTTGTCATATCCCGACAGTTTAGTCGAGCATTATGGTGGGCGCCTGTAGTCCCAGCTACTTGGAAGAATGAGGCAAGAGAAATCGCCTAAGCTCAAGAGCTGGAGGTTGCTGTGAGCTATGATGCCACAGCACTCTACTAAGGGGTGACGAAATGAGACTCTGTCTCTAAAAAAAAAAAAAAGACAATGACTTAAACTAAGACAGTTATCTATACACAGATAATCTAAAAATGATGTCTAACCTAAAAAACATTTCCTCTTTTTAGATAGCAATCTAATGTATTCCTAGTCAGACTGGCTCAGGAAAAAAAAAGAAAAGAAAAGAAATGCAATTTACGGCTTGGCACCCGAAGCTCTGTGGTAAGGGCGCCAGACACATATACCGGGACTAGTGGGTTTGAACCTGTCCCAGGCCTGCTAAACAGCAATGACAACTACAATAACAACAAAAATAGCCGGGCACTGTGGTGGGCGCCAGCTTCTTGGGAAGCTGAGGCAAGAGAATCACTTAAGCCCAAGAGTTTGAGGTTGCTGTGAGCTGTGATGCCACAGCACTATACTGAGGGCAATATGAGACTCTGTCTCAAAAATAAATAAATAAGTAAATAAATAAAGCTAATGTATGCCTAGTCCATTTAAGAACTTCAGCCAGTTCCCTTCACCTTGTACCTTCCCCCTTTTAGTTCTTTGCAGATAAACTGTCAAGATAAGACAAGCAATCTGTGATACGCTTTGATATCCCAGATAGAAAGTTTGATTACAATATTATCCAGTTGTTTAATATAAACCCTGGGGTGAAGATAAAAGAAAATCCAGGAAGATTATTCGTCTCAGGTGCACATTGCATTTGAGAAGTTGAGAAGATAATGAGGTTCAGAAGAAAGGAACTGGAGACCTTCTATGGACTGGAACCACAGTACAGGCAGCTTTTGACGTGATGCTTTCCATCTTTATTTTTTTCTTCCTGAACAGTTTTATAGTCAGATAAAGTCACATATATTAAGGTTTTAATGCATCATAAGCTAAGCTTTGGGTGAGTTTCCTAACTGTTTCTGCAAAATTTTTTTTTAAACTTCCCCCTAGGGAATGACAAGAAAAAAATAAGAGCACAAAAAATGTAGCTGGTTACTATTAGAAAGTAATAGTGATTTCAGCAATAGTTCACATTTTAACAATAAACATCAGAATACAACACTAGTATTCACTTTTGCCTAAATTTCTTGGGTTTGCTTTAAGACCCTTTGTGTGGATTTTTTTGTTTGGTTGGTTGTTTGTTTTTATTTTATTTTATTTTATTTATTTATTTATTTATTTTTTGAGACAGAGTCTCTCTTTGTTGCCCTGTGTGGAGTGCTGTGGCATCATGCCTCACAGCAATTTCAAACTACTGGGCTCAAGCAATCCTCTGGCCTTAGTCTCCCGAGCAGCTGAGAGTATAGGTGCCCACCACAACGTTGACCCAGCTAGTTTTTTTTGTTTTTTTTTTGTTTTTTCTATTTTTAGTAGAGACAGTCTTGAACTCCTGAGCTCAGGTGGTCTGCCTGCCTGAGCCTCCCAAATTGCTAGGATTAAAGATGTGAGCCACAGCACCTGGCCCAGACCCTTTGTGTTTTTAACTGTCATCCCAGTATATTGCTTTTATCCTACCTCATCTAAACATCCTAACCATATATAATTTCTCCTTACCATTAATTCTTCACGCACTTAGTACCTAGTTTTTGTTACATATGTTCATATTTTAGTTCCCTAAATAAACCAAGAGTGAATACTCTATAGTAACTATTAGGACAGAAATAAAAAAATAGGAGAGAAATACATATTGAATAAAAGAAATGTATAGTAAGTTGATATTCTAGTTAAACATAGGATCAGGACCTTTCACACTAGCCTAAGTTGTTACAGAAATTAAGACTTCTCTCTTTTTATAATTAAATGTGTTTTTATATGCCACTCCGGATCCTGGGAATGAAGCTGGATGTGAGGGACTTTGAATTGAAGTATTGCAGCTTCTTCTTCATGTTCCTAACACTTCCTGCCACCAGTTGAATTGGCATCTGGGGGATAGAGGGAAGACGGGGAAACTGTGCTTTATTTTTTTTGTTTGTTTTTTAAGGCAGTAAGAGCATGAAACTCTGCCTAACGTGGTGTAGTCACAAGGTAAAGTAAGATGTTCAGGAAACTTATTTAGTTTGTGTGAAATAGCTCTGAAAAACAATATCCTACTCATTTAGGAAATGGGTGTCACGTAGGGACCTGAGCAAGGGTACATTTCCTTTATTGCTGAGACATGCACGCTTCCTGCATCAGCTGAAATGTTCACAATGAACCAGATCATCTGTGGCATAATGTTCCCTTAATGGTCTCAAATCCAGCCAGATACTCATCAATGCTGGGACCCAAAGATATCTTTGGTATTTGTTGATTCATTCCTTCATTGCCTTTGTAGGGAACCTACTGAGGGTCAAGCATTACATGCTAAATAGGTTCTGGGAATATAGCAGAAACTCATGAGGTCTTGCTTCCACCTTAATTAAACCTGTGATCTTTGTTTTGGGCAGAAAGAAGATAGTTCAAATTCTCAGGTATCCAAGCTAAGAGAGAAACTACAGCTGATCAGTGCTCTCACAAACAAACCTGAGAGCAACAGGCCTCCAGAGACCGCCAGTGAAGGTGAGAGCCGGCCAGCTTCTGAATATTTCATGCAGGCTTGGGCAGCCTACCTCCCACACAGGGAGCGGGGCAGGTGTTCCAGCAGTCCTGATCGAGCCCAGTGAGTGATGCCTGAGCGCACTGAGATGAAGCTGAAACACTTTGCTTTCATTTAGAAAAAGCCCATTTTGTACATGATTTGTACTCTAGTCTATTAAGGGAAGAATGGGTAATGTTTAGCTGGAAATAGACTTTTCCATGCTGTCTGCATCCAATTATAGGCAAAAATGTTACTGTCATAGAGGATATTAAACCAGCCCTAAATATTGTTTATGGGAGTCTTTTCATTTCTGTAAGTACATAGAATTTACTTTAAAATAAATACTAGTCCTTCTGAAAATCATTAACAAATAGTGATGGGATTGTTGGATTGGAAGGAACCTTCGCTTCAGGTAGGGACCTGCCTAATCAATATTAGCAGGTGCATCAACCTCCACTGATTTAGGACTATGAGGATGTAACCAAGGCACTGACTGTGTCAGCTTCAATCCCTCCCCCCCACACAAGTATCTTTTAGTTTGGAAAAATAATACAACCTCCTAGAATTCTCTTTTGGTCCGGAGACAGAACTACAGTGGGAGGCCTTGTGGCAGCACTGTTAGCACCAGGTTGTCTGCTCTCACATGTGCCCAGGCTGGGTTTACAGCACATCTCCCAGGATGTCATACACCTTTAATCTCCAGCCCCTATGCTGTTGTCGCTTGACAACTTTAAACACTTACCATCTAAACATGTATAATGCTAACTCGTACCATAAGATCTTCGATGAGACTTGCTTCAAACCTTTATGTAACATAATACTGATTGATCTTCACTTGCCCACAGACACATCTCTGTCTAAGCCAGTGGTTCTCAACCTTCCTGATATCGCAACCCTTTAATATAGTTCGTGTTGTGGTGACCCCCACACAAGAGGAGCAGTGTCTCTGTTCGCAGTACCATTAGAAATATGTGTTTTCCAAATATCTTAGGCGACCCCTGTGAAAAGGGAAAGAGTCATTCAACCCCCAAATGGGTCGCAACCCACAGGTTGAGAACCACTGGTCCAAGCCTTTACTTCACATAGTCACTATGCTACTTAATTTTCAACTGTTTTTCAAATAAATACACATGCAATTGCTCTAAAAGGTCACCTTCAATACTAATTTAATTTGATGTTAGAGTCAATAATACTAAATAAAGCCATATGTATTGTTGCAGACCAAGTACAGAGTTTCACATCAAAGCCATCAGCATTGCCAAAATTTTCAAAGTCTCCTGGAGGCCCTGTCAAGAAAGCTGCCCAACTAAGACCTGTCTCTCTACCAGGAATTTCTAGCATTAAAGGTAAATTTTTATATCATGGGATAATGATGGGAACATTCAAGTAATAGCTTTTTAATTTTTTCTTAACTTATAAAAAATTATACTTGACACTTAGCACTTCCTGTGGGCCAAATAGATATGCTTTATGTTATATAATCTTGATAACCTTCCTATGAACATAAGTATTCTTGTATTATACCCATTTTACTGATAGGGAAACTATCTAAGTCCACACAGCAAATAATTAGTTGAGGCGGAATTCAAACTGAACCTCTCTGACGCCAAAGTTTGCACTCTGAACCAATGTGCTGCACTGTCTCTCCATTAATATTGTTTAGGGTCCTCATTCATTCACCAAATGCCTCATTAGACCAGTTCTGACAGTAGAAATATGATACAAGATAAGATCTCTCTCTCTTTATTGCAATCTAGTGGAGAAGTTGTAAAAGCAAATACAATACAGTGAGAGTAGTAAAATAAAGCAAAATAAAAATTGACCCTGTTTGTCAGGGGCCTCCAAGAAAAGAGGGATTCTTCTGCCAAAAATCAGCAAAATAAACTTTAGTAGGGAAGATATGATTCACAGAAAGATAGGTTTGCTTTCCAACAGTGTGTGTTCTGTCCCTCATTGTTGTGCTTAGAGCCTCCTAATTTTGCATTTTCTAGCTACCTGGCAAATCACAGTTCCTGTCTACCTGCCTTCTTCCTCTGGCTCTTCTCTTTAGCTTACATACCATTCCACTGGGAAACATTTCCTTACCTCCCAGAACTGGATAATGCTTCTCCTGTGTGTACATATATTTTGTTTGCCCCTGCTTAACACCTGTCACTATGTTGTAATATCCTGTGCAGATACAAAATTTAACCTTCTGTAGGTAAGGACTTTATTTTGTTTACTCTGAGCTCCTAGCACAGTACTTTAAATGAATGAATGAGTCACCTACATGTTGCGATTAATTGCTTAAAGCATAGAAGACTTAAAAATTTATATCACCATCTAAATGGGATTATTGTTTTTTCTTATTTCTGATTTCTTTTTCCATTTTCTGGGGAAGAGAGAATGTTTAGGTGTATTTAATGGCAACACAAGTTGTTTCCTCAGCTCTCCATTTTTACATCAAGAATTGATGAGAATAGACAAAGTTTTATGCTTCAATACGCAACATAGGCTTTGGTGCTTTTCAAGTGACCTGAAGCAGCAATAATATTTTTATTTGAATACTGCCACCAAGTACATAGCATATTGTATAAACTCAGACCACACACGCGCGCACACACACACACACACACCAAAAAAGAAATAACAGCTCGCTGCTTGGTGGCAGACATTGGGAACAAGTGTATCACTTGCTTTTCTGGATTTCAGAGAGCTTCTGAAGTTTTATTAGCTCCATTGCTGGGTCTTTCTTAGAGTAAGAGTAGGGCCCAATCAGAAGCTTGTTTACAAGAATTCCTTGATGGACTAGACCTTACACTACAACTGTTTTCCCTCCCTTCAGGCCATTTTCTTTCTTCCTGAGTACCAAACAGCAAGAGGCCTATTAAATCTAGATGTGACATGGAATAAATGAAGAAAGTAAAGGAATAAAGGAAGATTTTTAAAGGGACATAAGCCTCACTGTCCTTCTTTAGTATTAGAGACTAAATCTTCTATTTGATTATGGACACATCCTTAAGTCCTTTTTAAATGTTAGATAATTGGCCTTTCTAAGTGTTTATTATGGGGCCCTCAAAAATATCAGAAGAGACTATTGATAGGAATTCTACAATTCTGTTGGTTCAAACAGTGCCTTAGAAATAAAAAAGAAGGTAGATCAACCAATAGTGTTGCCCTATTTCCTATTTACAAAAAAAAAAAAAAAGGAAAGAGGGCATCCTTTGAAGAGATACAGAGTCCTCTGGTTCTTTTTTTAAATTGAGATACAATTTCACGTACCGTAACAGTCACCCTTTTCAAATGTATAATTCAGTGGTTTTTTGCAGCCATCACTACTATCTAATTTCTAAACATTTTCATCACCCTAGAAGGAATCTCTGTACCCGTGAAATATACATGCCCAGCCCCTCTTCTCCCAGCCCCTGGCAACCACTCTCTCTATGGATTTCTTTATTTGGGATGTTTCATATAAACATGTGACTTTGTGTCTGCTTCTTTGTTCTAATATGCTTCTTTCACTTAGTATTAATTTTTTATGGTCTATTCATGCTGTAGCAAGTAATGATATGGCATTCCTTTTTCTGACTGAATATTCCATTGTAGTGACATTTTGTTCATTGATCAGTTGATGGACATTTAGGTCATTGTACTTTTTGGCTATTAGGAGTAATGCTGTTATTAGGAATAACATGCAGGGGTTGTTTTGTTTCGCAGTTTTTGGCCGGGGCTGGGTTTGAACCCACCACCTCTGGCATATGGGGCTGGTGCCCTACTCCTTGAGCCACAAGCGCCACCCAACATGCAGGTTTTTATGTAGACATAAGTTTTTGTTTCCCTTTTCTCTTTTCACTGAAGACAGTGCTGACCTATGAATGGAATTACTGGGTCATTTGATAACTTTTATCTTTTTTGAGGACTTCCCAAACTGTTTTCTAAAATGGCTGCACCATTTTACATTCCTATCTGCAATGTGTAAGGGTTCAGTCTACTTTTCTCGCATCTTCTCTATTACTTGTTTTCACCTGTCTCTTTGACTATAGCCATCTTAGTAATTATGAAGTGGTATCGCATTGTGGTTTTAAGTCTCTGGTTCTAGAGCCACTTTATTTCTGGATCCAGAGAGACAATATCCCATAGTAGAATAAGCACCAGAGACGGTAATAAGAAAAGTTGTATTCTAGTCCACTTAAGAGTTCTGTGACCTTAAGCAAGTTATTTTTCTCTTAAACCTTTGGATTTCCTATGAAAATGAGAAAACTGTGAGTGTTTGGGATTGTTCCTCCAATGCCCACCCAGTCGTCTAATAAGAAATCTCACAGTATGTCACAGGCTATTTTATAAGCTAGAGCCTTAGGACTCTGCATTCCTTTTCTCCCCTTCAATTTAAGAATAAAGTCTGAAAAATGTAAAGGGAAGGCCCTGGACAGAGAGAAAGCCATTTCATTCATTTTTCCTGTGATCTTCTGTCCCTGCTTCTGTCTTAGGATATAGTGCCATATCGTTTTCCTTTCATCCTTAATGGATCAAAAATTAGTCTTTCTGATTTATGGAAACCCTAAACTTTACCTTTTGGAAACAAAATACAGAAAGTAGCTTTTCTCTTAGTGCCTTAAATTCAATTGAGGCTACTTTGATCTGAATTTAGCTATATGTGTAGACATATATATATTTTGTAATTCCTTTTTGACAGATCTTCAGGATTTATTCCTCAAGACTGGCCAGGACGTGGATGGGAAGCTGACCTACCAGGAAATCTGGAACTCACTAGGTTCTGCCATGCCAGGACCAGAGAGCTTGAAAATATTTGATTCCGATGGAGATGGAAGATACTCATTCCTGGAGCTAAGAGTAGCTTTAGGTGTCTAGCCTCATCAGGCATATTTTAGAAATGGCTGTATACCCAGGACTGCCTAATAACTACTGACCTAACAAAAACAGCCCTTACCCATCAGTCCTCTAGTCCTCCTAACTATTGTAGCAGACACATTGCCACCTTTTAATTATTTGAAGAAGCTGTATAAAAGTTATTTTTTTAAGAAAGAAGACCATTTTACTTATAATAAATATGATGTTCAGAAATTAATGATTTCCTGGCACCAGTAAGATCTTACATTTTTAAATTGACAGAAAAAAAAATAAAGCCCTCTCTTTTTCCTTTCCTTTTTTTGAGGGGAGGAGATCTTATCTTTAAACGTGGGTAATGTGTATATAGAGAGAATAAGCCACCTTTTATATTTCACATAAATTTGCCTTAAATTAGCTGCACTTTACAGAGACTCAGAAAATGTCTTTTCTTTAAAAGATAGGCCTTTTCTGTTTGTAAATATTTAAAAAGAAAGGGTTGTGCATATAGTGTGGAAAGTTGGAAGAATGGCTTCGAACAAGACATGAACAAATGACTTGTTATTAAAAATTGCTAATCTAATCTGGGTAGCAGTTGAAACTGTGTCCACATCTCCTTAAGGCATCCTCAAAGGCCCAGATGCTGCAATGGGGTTTGGCCTGGTGGCTGGGGGAATAGATTCAGGGAGTAAACACTGAAAACAGTGCTGACCCCAGGCTCAGGAAAGTAGGATTCTGGTCCTTTGTTCCTATTCCCTCACACAATCCCAGCCTGGGAATCAGAAATCTTATTGGGCATTTTTCTCAATTGTAATGCTATTTCAGGGTTTATGAGCCTAAAACCTTATCCATTTTCCCTCCTAGGTAAGCTAGCTTGTCTTCCCCCACCCACCCACCCACTCAAGTTTATCTTAAAGTTATAGCTGGCTTCCATCTCCAGTTCCATTTTCATTCTGAATGGCAGGGCTAACGTCCCTGGGTCACTGTCTCAGATCGACCATCCCAGAGCTTTAGAGGAGAGTTATGCCTCTAATTTTGACCCAGGAAACCATACCCCATGAGATTTTACCTGGCAGCTAATGAAGAACCTGGTATGATTCTCTATGGGAAGAATAAGGCTAAAAAGGTTCTAAAATGAAACATGAAATCCTATTCAATATCCTTACAATTAGGCTTTCTGTCCAGAGGATGCCCAGCTATGGTGGGGCAGGACTGAAGCCAGGGACTTCGTATGATGGTAACAAGTTTTTACAAATCTAGTACAAACAAGTGCAATGCTCCCTTTTAGTACTTCTGTAGACCTGGCACAAAAGGGCTGGAAGGATAATACCTCCATGTCCTCTGTGTGTTGAGTCTAGACTTTGTGTTGCTACTAGAAGCAGTCTTTGAACAACACAAAAGGAAAAAATTATGTAATAACCTTGCTTTAGGCCAAGTCAGGGAGAAACTAGAGAGGATTTCATGGCATAGACTTCTTTAGTAGAGATCATTTCCTTTTTGACTTTGTCCAAGTTGCCCTGTCAGCCTTGAATACAGTCTAGTACCCTTAAATATTTAAGGGCTGCTTATTTTCTTTATGATGTTCATTTTGGTGTTGACTAATTTTTTTGGGGGGGGAACTATTAAAATTTAGTTAAAGCAAGATGGGTCTTTTCCCGTGAATGTGTCTGCTTATCTCATAACGGTTTATGATTCTCCTTTTTATTTTTCCTTAACATTTCCCTTGTTCATCTCTATTTCACTTTCTTGGAAAGGTTAAAGTGTGGATAGAATTAGCCTGACACTTTAGATAACTTGAAAATAACTCTTACTCTTCTGGCTGCCTTCCGTGCCCCCCCACCTCGCCTTTTTTTTAATATATATGTCCTTACAGACTTTATAACAACCAAATAAAATACTAGCAATAAATTGAATTATACTGCTGTATTTGTATATACTGTACCATAAATAGTATGTCTACCTGGAAGGTATTTTTTTCAAGAGCTGATTTATATGAAATATACTTGAGGGTAATGTAGCTTGTCCTTTTTAGTTTCAAATTCTTATTCATAGGCAGATACTTTGAAGACACTTTTAACTCTTTGTTGTATGTACCTTTCTTTTGCATCAAATAGTAGAGGGAGAAGTCCATTTTGTTTTTAGTTTATCTTCTGTTCTTCTACCTCGCTAAGGCTTGTGTGACTAGCATCATCCCTGAGCCAGCGTGTAGTACCCACCATCTTCTTCTCCTGCCAAGTTTGGCAGAGGTGGTTAGGCTGTGCTATGGGAACTATAAATACCTTTGTCATTCTGCCTGAGAAAGTACCGGATCTTCCAGGCAGAAGCAGGGTATCCTGAACTTCTTTGCTCTAATTTAAATAGATTCACTGGCTTAAGAAAAGAGCCCCAGAAGCCTATATGTTGTTAATTTGGGATTTTTATTTGTCTTAACTTACCCAGCCTGTGACTTGGGTTCACCTGTAGTCAGCTCCAAGAGGAAGACTGGGTAGTGGTGGTGAAATTGGCTTTGGTTTTAAATCCTTTTACCTTTTTAGTCTGGCAGCTTCTACTGCTGCTTTACAAAGTTACCCAAAACACTGCTTCTTGGTCCTTTTTTTCTTTTGCCTTGTACTCACTGATAGGTTTACTAAAAGAGCCTCCTCATAAAACAGAGAGGCAAAAAGGTAGTATAGAAAGAGAAGAGCCAAAAGAAGAGAATACCTGACTTGGAGATGACTACAGTATCATTCAAAGGGCAGGGGGGTGCCTGCTACTCAGGAATGTGTCTGATGCAACAAAGTTGAAAAGTAGACCCCCTTCACCTGCTGCTGGCCATTCTCCCTTCCACTGGAGTTTCTTTTCTTTATGGTTGCTATACATAACTCCTGCAGCCCCCCTCACTGGTCCCACTGGTCACAGTTGAAGATTTTGACTATGATGGGCTCATACTTATAATGGCCTGTTGAGTTGTTTTTAGTGTCAGGTGTTGTTTGCTACACAGCTCATTGGCTTGCTTACCAACACCAGCTAGATGTGGTCTCTTCTTTTACATCCAAACCAGAACACGTTTGGGTATTCCTAAGACTTTATAGAGCGTGTATTGTTTGTTATACGAACCTAACCTACCTTGTTGTTTTCTCATATTAAGAAATGTAAATCTACTTTGTTTTGGTGGAGCTATTTTGGTAATGTATAAGCAATTTTTGTTCTGTTTGGAGAGTGAATTCAGGGTTTCTATGACTTGATTTGAGCTTTGCTTATTTCATATCAGTAATATAGCCATTTTAATTTATCTAAATAAAACATTTCCTTTTTCTCTCACTGTGTCTGAGTAAAGCCTCTCCCACTTCCCTAGTTACTAAGGAAAAAGTCTGCTTTGAACCCTATTTTCATGAACTCCTTTTGAAAGCAAGGAATTAACAGATGGTGGGCACAAAGTAATATTCAAGAATCTGCTTTAGGGGCAGCACCTGTGGCTCAAAGGAGTAGGGTGACAGGCCCATATGCCAAGGTGGCGGGTTCAAGCCCAGCCCTGGCCAAAAACTGCAAAAATAAATAAATAAATAAATAAAAATGTGGAACTCTGGATATCAGAAAGCCCCCAAATTAAACGAACTGAAATATATATATATATATATAATATTTGAAAAAGAAAAGAATCTGCTTTAAGGGACTGGATGTGGTGGCTCACACCTGTAATCATAGCATTCTAGGAGGCCAAAGTGGGTGGATTGCTTGAGCTTGTGTATTCGAGACCAGCCTTTGCAAGACTGAGATCTCATCTCTAAAAATATAACTGGGTATTATGGCAGGTGCCTATAGTCCCAGCTACCTAGGAGGCTGAGGCAAGAGGATTACTTGAGCCCAAGAGTTTGAGGTTGCTGTGAG